TGTGTGTGTGTGTGTGTGTGTGTGTGTGTTCTGTCTATAGGGTTAGGTCCAATTGCGATAATGGTGTGTTCACAAAAATTGGTGCTTTCATCGCCGACGGCAATGACAACTGATTTCAAATAATGCAATCTGCATCAATAATACATCTCCTTCCTCTTCTAGACATAACCCAGTCAAATCTGCACACAGAAACAGAATACACATGTTTTCTAGAGTCAGTGTGAGTTACGCTTCCAAAGATATTAACCATCTCAAGTCATCGTCAATAAATCCACTTAGAAGACGTCCCCTGTATCCAAAAACTTGACAGTAAATGTTACTTGTCTATAAATTCATGGAAAAATCATGCAAACAGGAGCCTCCAATCACTAATTCTGTGTTCTTCAAACGGCGCCAATATGTTGACATGTAGACAAAATAGGTTTTACAGAACTTGGCTGCATATGAAATAAAAATTCCTTGAGTCTTGTCACCACTGGGAGGTTGCCAGACAATAAAACATGTTAATTAGTGAGCTTGAAGGCAGATTTATCTAGCTAGCTGTTCACAGTATTTAGGCTAAGCTAAGCAGATTGGCTGGCTGTGGCGTCATAGAGTGGAGACGTGAGAGTGGTGCTGCCAACCCAAATCAGTTTGTTTTGTTTTTTTGGCGTATCCAGATTGATTTTCGTCAGGACAGCAGAAGAACACATTAATCAGATCGAAAAGAAATCTCTGCAGATGTTTCTCAGTCCAAACACTGGCTGCTCAAATTGGGTCTTTTTGTGTCACTTGCAACATGACACACAACAAAGACGTCTAATCCAGAGGACCCTGTCACTGGTGCCAATATCTTCACTACAGCAACCCATGGAGTAAGATCGTTCTGTCTGCACACACATTCAATCTGATCACTGCGCAGACTGTCTGTCTGAAAGATCTGATATGAGAATCAAATCAGATTTGCCTGCAGTCTAAACAAAGCCTAAGTGTTATTTCCAAAAGGACAATCTATTCTTTTAAGAGAGAGTTTACTTGATTAGGCTGAGCTCATTGATTTTATTTTCATTTGTTATCTTCTCCTCAGGTAGAGAAAACACTTACAAAAACAATCTAATGTTTCAACAACATTTTAAAGGCCCTTATTTATTGCACAGACAGAGCTGTAGTAGCACTAGTTTAATTAGATAACTAATATATGAGTAAATTAGTATTTCTAATGAGCATTGTTTCAAATGTGAGGCTCGGACAGAGCAGGAACACTCGTAACACAACAGCACTGCGATTAATACCTTTGTAAAATCATTATAGCCTCAAATAGACTGTGCTACACAACAGATCTGACAGGGAGACTAGTGCCTTTTAATCGCCCTTCACAACTCATAAAACTCAGAGTTGCGTCTGAAAGTAGGGTGGTGACTGTAAATATTAAGGTCTGAGGACATTGTTAATGGATTCTCTGATGACACATTTCATCCGAGCACTGATTGTAATTGCTTTTTACATGACAAGTAATAGTGTGAGGGCTTTGGAGACAGTGAAGAATCCCTTGAAAATAGAGACCTATGAAATTAAACCTCGGTTTTCAATTTGGTCTCCCACAAGAATTGAGCAATTAAATTGATTTAACCCGACCGCGGTGTAATGAGACATAAATAAATCTCAAAGTATCATTGTTTTTCAGAGGCTTCATTGAAAAGTAGAGTTTTATCTAAAAAAAAAAAAATGTATTTGTGATTTCCTCACTGCCAACAGGGCAGGTTCAATACACAAGCACTCTCAACCGGTAACTGTGATGTTGAAGTGACCTTGGTCCGCAGCAGAGATTGTTCATCTCCATCTCCTCCCATTGTACAAGGATGAAGATAAAATATCCTGGATACGAGTTTTGCCAAATTTCTTTTTTTCATTTGGAGCCAGAGTCTCCGCAGCAGTGATCATGGAGTGTAGCTGTCGTAGAGAG